CTGCTGTATCCCAAAGTTCCCCTTACTTAAAATATTTATTTAAGATCTAAGAGATAGTCAGGGAAAGGAAGAAAAAGTGTCTCTCCTCTTCTAGTTTTTCCCTCAAATGCCTGCAGTAGCCAGGGCTGAGCCAGGCTGAAACCCCGAGCTGCCCTCCCTGCAGGTGTCTCACGTGGTAAGCACACACCTACCTCCCCACCATGGTACCATTGGGACTGGAGCCAGAACTTGAACTTCCGCACCCTAATGAGGCACCTCAAGTGGCATCTTAAGATGCTGACCCGATACTCACCTGCCCGGGCCCTCTTCAGGTTGAAGGGCACGGCGTCCCAGGCAGGCACTTTGTCCCATGGGCACATCCACGGATACTATGCACTGATGGCTGGCACCAGCCCGATGATTCTATTTTTTATTGATTATTTCTTTATAGAAGTATTTCTCTTGTTGCTATAGTATAATCTTAGGCATGTAATGAAATAAAACTATTAAAAAATTTCTTTGTATTTTTATGCTTAGGTTTTGATTATGTTTCTTTGTGCCATGTCTTACTTATATGATGGCCTATGTTAATTGGCATTTCGTGTAAAAAAATGCAGTCAACTAAAATTATCTGAGAGGAGCAAAATTAAGCTCAAATGCATAGAGATAAGCTTAACACACACTGTTTACTATCGTAATTTATGTCACTTAATTATCGTATCCCTTTTCTAAACCCTTGTGCTTTGCTTAACCATGAGATTTAAGATCTTTTGGTCTTTGTAATATCCTTTAATTTCTCAGAACAGAAATGTGTGTTTGTCTCTGTGTTGTGCTGTGATTCTATGACATACAAATAAAATTAAGTAAAATTTAAATTTTAGTGACATTTTGGAATAAGTGGGTGACTTTGGTATTTATCATCCAGCTGTGTACAATGATGTCCTTTTCTATTATGAACTCGGGAAGGAATGCTGTGGGACGATCTCAGCTCCAGAATGCCATTCTCGTTTATGGAAAACGCTAAAAGGAACTGTGTTTATGATTAAAAGAAGCTGAGTTTGATGATCATCTGCTGTTCTAGAGCCCAGCTCCCACAGTCAGCTGCACTCCTCGGCTTGTTTGCTGGTGTGCTGTGTATCCACTGACGAGAAGACAAGTCACTAACGGGAGTCCTTGCCTGCTTAATGAATAAAATTGATTCGCAAGTAATTTTAATATGTGCAGACAGCCTGTTAGTTTTACACCCTTTGATTTTTAAACAGCCATGCTTTATAGTTTTAGAGTTTCCAGTTTCTTTCATTGAATTCTATGCCTGTACCAAAGTCAGAACTCCATAAAACACTTATTTAAAGGCTTAGAGCCAGATTTACTATCTATTTCCTTTAAAATTCATAAAATAGAGAACTTGGTTGGATTAAAGCTAGAAAAAAACGCTGGTAGTGTGTGCTAGGAACAACCATTGCTTTTGATGCTTCAGATTAGAATCTCAGGTAGAGACTACTTAAACCTGTTCTCCAGCTTTTTATTTATTCAACAACTATTTACTGAGTTATTCCTGTGTGGCAGAGAGTGTCTTAGGGCACAGACATGACATCATCCCTGTCACCAAGGAACTGCTGTCCGTCAGGATGAGGAGCAGTAGGTGCCTAACGCATGAAGACAAATTGTAATTGTGGTCGATTCCAAGCAGGACAAAAATCATGTACAGTACGAGGACCATAGTTTGATAAGCTCGTAGCCAAGCACTGAAATTGATTGGTAATTCACATTATAACTTCAGCAAATCCCAGAACTAGCATCAGCTTTTAAGATTATTCATTCCAGTGCTAAACTCAGTGTTTGAGTACTTCTTAGTGATCATTTGATCACTGCCAAACTTTTAACTGTTCTGGACTTATAAAATTACACTTTCACATAATTCATGGCAGTGTAAGCGTGTTGAGTATAATGTTTGGTAGGATTGTGTAAAAGAGATTAGTCAAGACAACCTACCTAGCTCCTTGTATAGGATAGAAATGTAGCAGCACATTATAATAATGCGTATTTATACAAAGAAATGTCTCAAGTGGGTTTTGTCTCTTCTCAATGAAATGCCTGGTGCCGTTCCAGCCGTGTCGCCTGACATATCTACTCAAGACTGCACCAGTCCCTGTGACGGATCTCCTAGACAGCGAGCGGCTTTTTGCATGGACATGGACTTCAGCCATGTTGTAGCTTGTGTTCATGTCTAAATGGTGACACATTGCTTGTGCTTTTCCAGCTTCTGGGGGCAGCTCCCTTGTGCTGTAGAAGGCTGTAGTTTTATTGATTTCTTTATCTAGTTCCAAAGCTGTTTCTCGTCTGTGCCCCGTAGCATGTGACCATGGATTCATAGAAGTGAAGGAGAAGTAAAAAAGGAAGAATTTTTGCTAGTCAGGATCCTGCCTGTTACAAGGAGATGCTGACTGGATGAGTGGAGAGAAAATTATCTTGGCATTTAATGCTGTTGGCTTCAGTTAGCTACTTGAAACTACATATGCTGGAGCGGTCTGCAGGTCTGAACCACACAACATATACATACAAGGTTCTAGGGTCTGGCTGGGGAAAGCAGACAGAGTTCCTGACATCACCACCATGGCCGCCAACCCCAGCACCATGCACATCCCATCTATGGGGGAAGAGACAGTAAACATCAGTGTACAGTACAGTATTAAGTTCAGCAAGATGTCGAGTGGGGGAAAAGTAGAGCTTAATAAGAAAAATGGTATAGAGGGAAATGTAATTAACTCAGAATAGGAAATATGCCACACTAAAGAAAATAATTTCAAATATGGATTTTAAGCAAAACGATTTCAAGCCCGAGTTTTTGAAAGATAAATGAAAGTACCACAGACTGGGCTGGAAAATGCCCTTATGACAGAAGCAGGGACAGGCGGGGTGTAAAACAAGGAATCAGAACTAGTATTGCTGCAATGGGCATTCAGGCAGTTGAGATATAGGTTCCTGAGAACCGTGGTCTGGCTCCCTGACTCCAGCTTCCTGAAAATGCAGGCTGCCTGGGGGCAACCATGATGGGTCCAGTGACCCAAGCCTTGCTACACCCATGTGGGACGCTTGGGTCGAGTTCCTGCCTTCCAGCTTTGCTGCAGCCTGGTGCCAGTTACGGCAGGCATTGGGGAGTAAGCCAGAAGGTGGAGTCCCTCTCTCTTTTCCCCCCTCTCTCTCTCCCTCCCTCCCTCCCTTTTTCCACTCATCCTTAGCTCTTTCCCTTTCAAATAAATAAATACATCGGAGAAAATAGTATTGTATAATGGTGTTTCATCCCCTTTGAAGAAAATTGAGTAACGGGATGCTGTGTTTGGATTTAACAGGACTTGTTTCCTCCAACAGTGGTTGATTGACTGATTTAGATAGAAGGAGTACGGGCAGTGAAAGTGCTTTTTGCAAAATGCAGCAAAACGTTGTTTTCATAGTCTCCACATATTTAAAAATGTTATTTGGGCTGGAGGTTGGCATCATTCTAAGCCTTCTAAGGATAGTGGATGCTAACATTTTTAAAACGGTACTTAAGAAGAATCCACACTTGAGATCATGTTTTTTTTTTTTTTCCTTCCATTTAGAAATACTGTGCTGTTATTCTGGATCTTTTACAAAAAGATTTTATTTATTTGAAAGGTAGAGTACAATGAGAGATGGAGGGACAGTGGGAGAAATCTTCCAGCCTCTACTGCAGAATAGGTGGGAGTCAAAGCAGGCACTCTGCTACGGGCTGTGGGCATGCCCAGCAGGGGCTTAACCTGTTGTGCTGCAGCGCTGCCCCGTTACTCTTGTGTCACAGGCAGCACTCTTAGAGAACTGCGCTGTGTTCTAGAGAGCAGGTGGGTAGTCAACCTCTGGGAAGACCTAGGGGCCGACTCCCCTACAGCCGACAGCTCCTCCTGAAAGCAAATCCAGTTTCTGATTCCGCTTTATTGAATTGAAATCTCTCCCCATACCATAGTCTCCCTGCTCTTAGTTCTAATTCTTGAACACATCATGATTGTTTCTTAGACGATGAAAAACTATGGCAGTGCATTGCACTATTTTGAGATCTGTTATAGAGGACAGCTAGTGATATGACTTTGTAGTATCTTTAATAAGGAGACAGTGTAGACACTGTTTGTGTTTTATAGGACCAGATTGGGATCTGGCCTATCCATCTTCATAGCCAAGCCCTCCATTTGTATATTTCTGCAGAACTTTTGTTTAAGCTTTTTCTTCTCCAGGATTTCTTAGTTGCATAGTAGTAAGGTTTAAAGGAGGAGTTCAGCGAATTGGAAACAGGAAGCAAAGTTGAGACAAAGAAAAGTACAATATTATAGTGATTACTGAAGAAGTAGGAAACTCGATACCTAAGGCAAATTATAAAGGCATTAAAAGGGCAACTGTTTACGTCTTTAATACTTAGGGAGGAAAGGGTATGTGTTGGGGGAGAGTGTCAAAGGCTTTGATTCATCATACATAGAAATACATATCTATGGGCCCGGCGGCGTGGCCTAGCAGCTAAAGTCCTCGCCTTGAACGCGCTGGGATCCCATATGGGCACTGGTTCTAATCCCAGCAGCTCCACTTCCCATCCAGCTCCCTGCTTGTGGCCTGGGAAAGCAGTCGAGGATGACCCAAGGCTTTGAGAGCCTGCACCTGTGTGGGAGACTGGGAGGAAGTTCCTGGCTCCTGGCTTCAGATCGGCATAGCATCGGCCATTGTGGTCCCTTGGGGAGTGAATCATCGGACGGAAGATCTTCCTCTCTGTCTCTCCTCCTCTCTGTATATGTGACTTGTAATAAATAAGTAAATCTTTTTTTAAAAAAAGAAATATATATTCATCTAATGTGTGAGATATGTGCAGAGGTTCTTCAAAAACTCATGGAAATGTATATTATGAAAAAAACATGGATTTCAAAATTCTACATGAGAATAAGCTCCTCTCTAATTCCATTTTTCCATAAATTTTAAAAACCTTTAATTTTTAAAAATTTTTTACAGAAAGAATTTTTAAATTTATGCGAAATGGACACATCTGGTGTGTTTTACAATACTAACTTAGGAACATGTGGCACTGCCCAACCTTGGAAGGTTCCTCCAAAGCTTCAGAACAGTCGTGGAAAAGTCAAACGGAAGGATCGTGTGAGTTTGCACACTTACCCAGACCTGCTCGTGTTACACACTACTCATGCACACACATTACATATACACACATAGCAATGGACAGATACGCGTGTGTGCTTCCGGCAGCTGTTCTGTAAATGTCAGGTAACAGACTGTGTCTGTCTCATGTCTGGTCTGTTCCCCTGCCTGAAGTGGAGTCTACGGATTCAAATTATGGGTTTTTAGTCGATGGGCCCTGGCATGCTAAGCTCAGCAAGTAAGCAGCTGCATAATGAGCTAGGTCATCTCCCACTGCGAAGACCGCGTCCTTGGACTGCCTTGCTTTTTAGAAGGAGCCGGAGAAAGGCGTTTGATTTTAAGACATAATAGTGGTGTTCAGGAACAGTGGTACTATCTAGACTTTTATCCTGTCTAGGAAAAACTAGTTCAGTAGAGCCACCGGTTTATAAAAATCATTTTTAGTATTCTTTATTTTTCAAGTCAGGTTTTAGCCTAGGATCTAAGTGAGGGATTTTCAGGAAAGAATAAATTGGTTGCTGTTTTGTTTCTTTTCTAAATGTGACAGGTTAAGCTGATGTTAAAAGGGTGGATTGAGATTGTTGCGTGTGTGTGCTGTCGGCCTGCCACGCCTGCGGCAGCCTTGAGAGTGCCTTGATTCTGTGCACTGAACATTTGGTATTTGAATTAACCAAAATACTCAAATTAAGAATCCCTGAAAGTTGCGTTTATTTTTGCTGTTGTCAAAATGGGACAGGTTCTGAAATAGATTGTTTTATAAAAAGCACTTTTTCTTGAAACATGCAGATATACACAATACCCTCCCAACCTCTCGGGATAGGGAAAGAAAAAAAAAAAGGAGAATTACCTAGCTTGGTGAGTCCCGTGCTTCTTCTGAAGTGGCTGCTGCTCAGGGCTGCGAGGGCCGCGTGGAAGGGGGCTATTGTTCCGTGATCTCCAGCAAGAGAATGGGGGGGGAGGGGGACGGTTGCCTTTGACTGGCGTTGGCTCTGGCTCTTCTGCATTCCAAACTGTCTGAGGCACCGGGTGAGAGCAAGAGAGAGAGAGAGAGAGAGAGAGAGCGAGCCCGTGAGAGCCAGCGCAGGGGAGGACCCTGCACAAAGTGTTTTGAGTTTCCGACTGGCATGCGGGAAGGATCATGTTAGCAACACCCAGAAACTTCCCAGAATGCAGACCCCAGGTAAGAGTTCAGTTTACGATTGAAATGAAGAGTTTGTGTTTAAGGGAGTGTGGTTTTTTTGCTCACTACACAAGTGTGTTGCCTGTTTACCTTCGGGTTATTGGCTTTAAAAATCAGGTTGTTTTTCTTTACTGAGAGTTCAAGGAGTGCTGGGTGGAGACTGCCTGTCAGCATTCCAGTACCAACTCCAGCACAACAGCCAGCTGAGAACCCGGGATGAGTTCAAAGGATACTGAGCCTTAGCCCAGTGGTGGCACTGCAATGGTTACCTGCTTTTTTTTTTCAATGATATGGCTGCTAAGATTGGATCTGTCTCCGAATGTTTTATGAAATATGAAAAAAAAAGAAGAAATACTGCTCATTTCTTCAAGGAAGACAGAATATTCTAGCAATGAACAAGATTGTTACAGCATTGCTCCGATCCCAGTGGGACATAATAAACCTGTGTGGGTCGGGGGATCAACAGGTTGGAGCCATGAGCAACAGTAAAAGCGTCCAGATGCATGGGGGATTGGCTTTTATTATTTTTAAAAATTTATTTAATTGCCCAAGATGGGCTTTTAACATCCTCTGCCAGTACTTGACCAAAAAGAAACCTTTGCTGAGAGACTCGGAGAGACTGAAACCGGAAAGAGGCTGTCAGAGAGAGGATCAGAGGCGTGTCTGCCTCTGTGTTTGGAGCAGGGAGGTTCAGACTCTAGGCGGTATTTCTCACGGTCAGAGTTAGCCACTGAGTGGAGATGAAAACGTGAGCTTCCTGATAATCTAGTTTAATATTTTTATTTATGATATGAATTACGTTTAGCCTGTATGTATTTTATTTTGCTGCATCACTGACCTCAGGAACAATGAGTTATTGTGTAAGTAGAGCCGTCGTGTTCATCAGCCCAGGTTGAGGTGCTTTGGAGAAGAGATCCTTCGAAAGGATATCATCAAACCAGCCTTGATACAAGCTCATGACTGAAACAAAAAGTATTTAGCAAAATATTAATCAGAAGGAAAAATGGCTTTTAGTTAGGGCAAGTTTCTGTAGTTTGTATACTGTTTTTATATGAAGGATTACATAGCTGTGGCGTGTTTAATATTTATGTAGTTTAATTCAGTGAATTTTTAATTTATCTGAAAGATTTTAGAACTTAGCACTTTGCTTTATCAATGCTAAAACTTTTGTATGTGTAAAGATCTAGCTTTGTCACATTTCTATTTTAGTAGAAGCAGGAAGTCATTCCATACTCACTGCCTTCCCTGTTTTACTGAAAAAAAAAAAGTCAGATAGCATTTTTGAAGTGTGCAAGTGTTTGGACCAACAAAGTCCGCCTCTGTTTCTCTCCATATACAAGAGCTGTTACTCCGCCTCCTGAGTCACGTGCTGGAGGACACTTCAGCAGGCCGTGAGCATCCGTCTGCATACATTTTCATCTAGTCCTAGCCGTTTCTCTGCGACCTTTGTGTGGATGAGAGAGACCGCGCTATTCTGGGGAGCTAAAAGGGCAAAGATTGCCACTGTGCGAAGGGTCTGTCATGGCTCTTTGCAACTGCTGGGAACAAGTCAGCTCGACTCGGCCGTAAGCGCAGTGAAGTGACGCTGTCCTTTTATACTCAAACCTGAGCTGCTCGTTCCAGCTTTCAGCCAGATCTGTGAAAGTGTGGAACTGATTTACAAGCCTGTGGAAATGGGCAATAAGCTGTAAGAAACAGTTTCATTGCCGCTCTTGGCTATCACGGAAACCAACTTGCAAATTGAATTCTCCACCCTGTAGAATACAAGAGCCTGTTTGTCTGACTGGAGAATCCATTATTTGGACACACTGTTTACAAGTCTGATGACTGAGAATGAGGACATGCTGTTACCGTGTGCATGTTTTATTAGATAGGGCTGAAGTGTTTCGTCTGCCCGTGAGCCTGTGAAAAGGCTGCCCTGGTGAGGACGTGGATGTCACGTGGGTGTATTGTGACAAAGGTTAAGATGGGTCTTTGACCTGATTCTGTTTCCTGGTGCCAGCAGCAACCAGAGGCCATTGAATTGGAACTGGTGATTTACTGAGCAAAGTTGGGAACGCTTCAGTAATCCACTTAATCATGATAAAACTTACTACCATGCACTAGAAATAGAAAAATGCCTGAGGAAAATACACGTGTTTCTCTTGTAGATACAAAATCAGCGTATTATCCATGTTTAGTAAAGCAGTAGTGATGGAACCGCTTGGTGATTAATGACAGCTCTCACGTGGGAGTGCAGTGGGTGGAGTGAAATGAGCAGCGTGAGAGAAGAAACCCGTGTGTGACAAGTTTCTTTTAGCTATTGTTTCCTTAAGGGCAGTTCCGCCTTCACTATGTGGAACTCTTAGGCTGTGAATCTTTCCCCCATGAGCTAAGACATATCCCTGGAAAGAAATCATATGTGTGTATACATATGAAATTTTCAAAGAAGGTGTATTTTCAATTTACCTGTAGCATTTTCCTTATGATTGTTTAGTTACAGTTGATAAAATCTTTTTACTCACTCAAATTATTTCTCCCTTTTGTTAAAATTTCTCTCTGACATTTTGGTACAGTAACGTGTTTTGTGTCCCAGTTACATTTCTACAAAAATGAGAAGTCTGGCAGCAGGGCAGGACTCGAGGCTGGTGTGGAAAGTGTCCAAGTGGCTAAGTTCGCTCCTTGCTCAGACATCCTCCCAGCACCGGGCAGTGTGCATGCGTCCCCTCTGACGTCCTCCCAGCACCGGGCAGTGTGAGTGTCCCCCCTCTGACGTCCTCCCAGCACCGGGCAGTGTGCGTGCGTCCCCTCTGACGTCCTCCCAGCACCGGGCAGTGTGAGTGTACCCCCTCTGACGTCCTCCCAGCACTGGGCAGTGTGAGTGTCCCCCCTCTGACATCCTCCCAGCACCGGACAGTGTGAGTGTCCCCCCTCTGACGTCCTCCCAGCACCGGGCAGTGTGAGTGTCCCCTCTGACGACCTCCCAGCACCGGGCAGCGTGAGTGTACCCCCTCTCTGACGTCCTCCCAGCACCGGCCAGTGTGCGTGCGTCCCCTCTCTGCTCCAGTCCTGACCGGCAGCCTTTCCTCGTGCGTTTCTTACACACTTGGTGTTCTCTGCTCTCACGCTCTCGGGGGGTGGTTCATGGATGCTCTTGTTTTCCGCTCCTGGAGCCAGTTTGTGTTAGTGAAAAGCAGGTGCCTGTTGTAAAGGAAGGCTCACCTGAGAAGTACACCAGCGCTGACTCAGCTGTGTTAGATGCATAAGCAGAACTGAAGACAGTCATGGATCAGTGATACGAATTCTCTCAGACTTGGAGCTTTTCTCAAATGCTTATGAGAATGCAGTCCATCAAAATTACACTGTTAGTTGTGGTTATTATCTCTGTATATTTTAAAAAGCTTAATACCATTCAGAATACTTTCATACATATTCAATGAGATTACCACAGTGGTGACTCCGTTTTGGCCAAGGTGTTTTGTCTTCTCTGGCACCCACCTTGCTCCCAGCTCAGACCATGCTGTTGAACCTTGGAGGAAGTCCTGTGCATGAACTTGAACGCAGGAAGAAGGAACCAGTGACGAGATCCCAGCAGTAACTGCACTCTGGAAACCTACACGCTTCTGCCATTCTCGGGCTTTCCAGCATTCATGAGTAAAGGAGTTTCTGGAATGTCACCTTCATATATTACTTAGGTGTGTGCACTTCTATTCCTTTAAGGAAAAATCACCTGGTTCTGCTTGTTGTTAGAAACTAAACAACTTGGGCCCAGTGCTATAGCCTAGTAGCTAATCCTGGCCTTGCCTGTGCTGGAATCGCATATGGGATGCTGGTTGATATCCCAGCTGTTCTACTTCCCATCCAGCTCCCTGCTTGTGGCCTGGGAAAGCAGTGGAGGACAACCCAAAGTCTGTACCCATGTGGGAGGCCTGGAAGAAGCTCCAGCCTCCTGGCTTTGGGTTGGCTCAGCTCCTGTCTTTGAGGCCACTTGGGTAGTGAACCAACAGATGAAAGATCTTTGTCTCTCCATCTCTGCATATCTGGCTTTCCAATATACATACATACGTACAGAACATCAATGAATCTTCAAAAAAAGGAAAAGAGCTATGTGACTTGGGCTCCAGCAGCTGTCGCTGGGGTCAGGTGCAGCCTCGGATAGGCAAGTTGCTGACTCAGGTGTTCCAGCCAGTTCCTAAGATTGTGGAGTGCCTTTGAGAAGCATTGGAACAGCACCGCCCTATGGTTAGCCTTCTTATATGCTGTATTTAGTTCATATGAGGACTACTAAAACAGGCTTATTTTACTTCTGATATTCTGGGTTGTAATTTTTTTTTTTTTGCTACAATATCTCAAGTGGGTTATGTGTAGTTCATTTAGTTTCTGATGTCTTGAGTCAGATAGAAGGAAAGCTGAGTGGGACCCTATTTCAAAGCCCCCCTTTCTAGGAGAACCTGGGGCATTAACTGTCAACTAATAAATAAAAGAAGAAGGAGCAGTTGTGTTCCTGTTTAATCAGGTGGCAGGGAAGGTGTTGAATTCTGTCCACAGGGAAGGGATTTGCTATATACTAAGAGCACATCGCTGCTTTAAGAAATACTTGGAAAGAGGAAAACACACAAACTCGCACTTAGTTCCCGGAGCTGCCAGTACTGGCTCACTCCCCACGAGGATCACAGAGCTGGGCCGGGCCAAGCAGGATCAGGAATCCCGCCTTGCCTCCCGTGTGAGCGGCGGAGAACAAGGACTCTGTCTCCTGCGGGCTGCTTCCCAGGCACGTTAGCAGGTAGCTGGGTCAGAAGTGGAGCAGCCAGAACCCCCAAGGAGTCACTTCTTAGAGTTTGTTCAGTATGTTTATAGAATATTTCTTATCAGAATTTGCTCAAAATGTGGAAAACTAAGCATGATGTAGAGGAATTTCATTACATAATATTTGGCCTATTTTTATAATAATTTTTTAGAAGATTAACTCACTTTTTATTCGAAGGACAGATTTACAGAGAAGCAGAGAGATCTTCTGTCCA